TTTTTCCATTGCTCTCTTCTTTTCTAGGCGCTTAATTTATTTGTTTATGTCTAGCAATTATTTTTGGTGATCTTCGAATTTCGACGATTATTTTTTTGTTTGTTTGTTTGTTAGAATTTCATTTGCTTTTTCGTCAGTTTTTATTTGGTGATAATTTTTTATAAACTGCGCTGGGCGATTTTTAGTAAGATACCATATCTTACTTGCATAAGTACATACGTAAATATGTATATGCGTGAGTTTCAGGCCATAAAAAAATATTAAAACTTTTTTGTTATTTTAAAAATTTGATTTATGGGTTTACTTTTTCATTTCAGCTCGTTAAAAAAGTTTTTTAATAATTCAAGATCTTCGTTAACTTTCGAAAGTTAATTGCGCTGTTGCTAGGTGAAGTGAAAATAAACTTAACAAATCAGCAAAAATAAATTGTAATAAAAAATTTAAAGAGTTCCAACGATTCAAGGCAAATCTTTAAGTTGGATGGTCATTAATAATTACGGGCAAACACATGTGTACATACATACCGACGCACGCATATACGAGGTATTTATATACATATTTAACGTCACAAGCTATAAAGTGCTTATTTCGCTTTTAGGGCCAAAGAAAGACAACAATTAACACACACCCATTTATTTTGGCCAAGTAGCCGAGTGCAATGTACGGTAAATTTAGTCACAAACGCACGCAGCCGCACATACAAACATACATTGGTACATATGCAAATATTTACATTTAAAATACTAAAATATTTGAAATTGTACCAGTCGCCATTTCTGCATACAAAAATACATACATAAGTATTTACATACATACATACATACATACTTTCGTTCGGTGTTAACCTAACGGGCGGTAATGCAAAGTCGCCTTAGTGGATTGGTGTATTGTCCGACAATGGCCAAAGCCCCAAGGCCACCTATTTCGAGCGAAGTTAAAGGCAGACAAAATGTCAATATTTTGATTTGAAACAAGTACATACATACATCCATATATAAGTATGTACTTAAGTATGTATGTGTACTTAGTTCAAATGGCCCAAAGCCAATAGTTTGTCAATAACAGTATTGTATATGACTATTGACAGCTGATTATGTGGCATTAAATGGATTGGTTGGGTTTATGACATTGCAAATAAGTGCAGGTATGCTTTTAAAAGTAAGTATATGGGGCGTTCCATACCAAATGGACGGGTGTTTGATTTGTTTAAAATTTTTAGGGTTGATGGATAAACATAAATATATAGGAAATATTTTTTCTTAGAGCTACCATTTTGATTTTATTTGTAAATTTTTTTTTTTGAGATGACATAATATCAAAAACTATTTTTTTATCAAAAAATATGTATATATGTGAAAAATTTTTAAAGAAAAAACATTTTTTTTAATTTTTTTTTTCATAGATAATTTTGATGTATGTATGTGTAATTTTTTTTAATTTTTTCCTCGCCCCGTTCTCGAGATATTTGGAAAACTATTAAATCGATTTGGTTTTGTTTTTGTGATGTAAAGTTTTTAAAAAATGTATTAATCAAGCTCATATTTCATATTTATTTATTATTTATGTTTATCCAGCAACCCTAAAAATTTTAAACAAATCAAACACATGAAGTGTGAACCCCGTCCATTTTGGTATGGAACGCGAAAATCCTCCTAGATATATCCTCCAAGCGGGTGCCGACTGGGCAATGGGCATCGCTGCTTACACCGCTGTGGCAAGGTAGGCCTGTTCCTATGGCTGCAGTGGTGCAAGCAGGCGGGGCCTAGCCAAGGCCGAGGTATAAACTCCCCTGCCTCATCTAGGTCTAGTGGTAGNTGGAACGCCCCATATATTTTATAAACTTAGGTTGTATGTAACTACCCTGCAGTGAAAAGCCAAACCAGTTAAAAAAAATAGCAGGTCATTAACTAGTATGTGCCTACCATTTATGATTTTATATGCTGAAAATGAGAAAGAAAGCACTTAATTTTATGGGTTGGCGTCAGAGCGATTAATTACAAAGCATTTGATTAAATTAATATATGTGCGTACAGTAGGGTGGTAAAAAAACCAAAGGCGGAATTTTAATGCTCTCTCCCCCTAGGATTGTTCTATATCGGAAAAATATATGTACCCCTATTTTTTATTTGGAAATTGCTCAAAGTTTTCCATGTAGTTTATATCGGCAGAAGCAACTTCTCGGAGAAATGTTATACAATTCTTGAAAATCAATTCAGCAATAATGCTCAATGGTTTATTTTAATTTTTTTTTTAACAGATTAAGATTTTTTATTGGTCGCCCATTGCATTTTCTGAGGTTTTTGGCGGACCTTTTAAATATAGTTGCAATGAAAAAATTATTAAATAAGTAATTGGGTATTATTATTGGGAATCTCCCGAAGAGAAACAGAGTTTGCCGTTGGAAAAATATTGATTTTCAAGAATTCTATACCATTTCTACAAAAGTTGTCTTCTTCCCATATAAAATACACACATGGAAAACTTTGAGCGACCTCTATTGACTTCAAAAAAAAAAAAAAATTGGGGTATAATTTTTCGGTATAGAACAATCCAGGGGGTGTGGAGCAAAAAAATGCCGACTTTACTTTTTGGACATGCATTTTTGGACCACCCTAATGTGCGTTCATGCATTAATATAAATATGTGAACTTCCGCAAGTGAGATTTTATTATTTTATGTATCGATTGAATTGTTAGTGATGCCAAATAGCAAATGTGTGCGCATAGATACATACCCTGCAAAAATTTAAGGACCAGGTGGTCCATTGGGTCGTGGTTTTAAAGTATATGCAAAAGGACCAGTTTGTATACTAGCAACTTGTTATGCTAACCTGGACCACTTCAAACGTAAAAAACTGATAAATGTGTTGAACACCACCTCTTCGCGGCCGATCGGCAATACGATTTGGTTGCCGAGTGTGCCATGGTCCAAAAGGAGTAAGTGTCTGGGTGGTCCCATGTTATGCAGTGGTGGGCCAGAAGTGGTCCCATGTTATGCAGCGTTGGACCAGAGGTGGTCAGGTCCAACGACATCGCAATGTTAATGTTACCATATTTTCTCCATATATTTGGACCATTTTGGTTACTAGTGTTGGTTACAAGGTAGCGTGGTCCCGTACTAGTATTTAAACTAGTCCCACTTTTTGCAGGGTATGTATATGGATGTGAATGTATGTGTGTATGTATGCATGTATGTATACATGTAAATACATATATTCCTACCCAAATTTTTTTGCACTTTACTGTTCAATTTGTTGTTTACGGGAAGCTTGGCGAATAAAGCTTATACATACACTACATACGTCAGTGTCAGTGAAAATCGTACAGTAAATTTTTCTCCATATTTTGAAAATATTTTGTTACCTTTAGATTTTATTCAGTAAAAAAAAAAATATATAGTCAACAACAAAATTCATATAACTCAAAGTTTGTAATTTTGTAACAATATAAAAAAATCGCTAAATTTTCATCAACATTTCACATTTTTTATTTAGACTTTCTAGAATTTTTAGGCATTTTTTTTGTTGAGTGTTGCGAATTTTTTTTCATATAACACATGAACAAAATCTATTTTTATATGGAAGAAAATGCGTAACACCATAGATAAAATAAATTCTGAAAAGTCAACGGTATTTTGTAGCTACAGTATATTTTGCTTAGCTGCACATCCTTCTTTGCACGAAAAACTTGTGCACCTAACCGAAAAAGGCACTTAAGCGAATTTTCTTTACTACTTCAATGAGGAAGGTATCCGAATCCCTATGAAACCAAATAATGGAGAAGCACCTATCACGTAGAAAATAATGCAAGCGAAATTTTTTTTCGAATGGTATCTTATTATCTATATAACTAGAAAAATTGATAGCCATTTCCGTTGTTCTGCGATATGAGTAAAATAAATAAAAGCTTGTAAAATTAGGTAATTGTAGCCCAGCGCAGGTAAACGTAATACTTTCTTTGATAATTGATACTAGTTACACAATTTTTAAGGCAGCTATCGTCAATGTGCAGGTATTTTGAATGCATCTGTCGGAGCAGTTTCCTTATAAATGTTAAAAATAATGTCTCAGATGCGCATTTTGGGGTAGCTATCTTAAATGCGCACTTAAGCATCATTTCATTTTATTCATTTTGTCGGGGCCATAACCACTTCGGGAATAGTTAAGGACTTTTTCAGGATCATTCCGTGACTAGTTTCAAACTAATTCAAAATTATCCCGAACCAGCCCAAAATTGTTCTGAAGTAGTCCTGAATATGTTCTGAAAAGTTGTGAACTTTTCCCAAAATGTTCACGAACATGTCGTGAAACGGTTCCCCCGAAATGGTGCCTTAATAGTCCCGATATGATTTCAAACTAGTACCGAAAAATTCCTCAAATAGTCCCAAGAGGGTCTTGAACTCGTGCCTAGAATATCCCGAACTACTGCAAAATGGTTCTGAAATAGTCTCTGAACTAGTTTCAAATGGCCTAGATTTAATCCTGCAATAGTCGTAAACTAGGCTCGAAATGGTCCTGAAATAGCACCTAACAGGCTCGAGAACGGTCGTGAACTTCACCCGAAATGATCTCGACCTAGTCTTGAAATGGTCCCTTTCCCTTATTAGTCCCAAAATGATCCCGAACTAGTTCCAAAAGGGTCCTAAACTAGTTCTGAGCTATTCCCGAAATGGCGCCGAACTAATACCAAGAGGATCCTGAACTAGCCCTGATATGTTTCTTGAATATTGCATTTTTATGCTGGGTTTCACAAGAAGTAATTACAAATTTTCCGCTGGCTTACCGCATATTTTAGCCATACCGAGGGCTAAGATGCTTACACGTAAAAAAAACAGCCTGGAAGGGTTTAATTGGAACTTAGTTTCTTCGATTGATTGGGATTTTAAGTAACCGAAACACAACTACGAGAATTCTTATGTTAATCCAAATGAATTTGAATCTAGTGAACTATGTACCATAGTATGTACTACCACCACCTTTGCTTTGCACCATTCAAACTTACATCTTCTGATTGCGCCGCTGTCGTGCGCCCACTCTCGAATGCGCTCTCGTCCGTCATTTGCCTCTTTGGTGGCGTTGTCATCGCCGGCCTCTTGATCCACACATCATCCAAATGCGATAGATCACCGCGTGTTTTAACTAAACTAGTATCACAATTATTGTAACTTTGGTGGTGATTGAGACAAGTTTTGCTGATTGGGGATGTGGTTGTGGAAGTCGCATTTGCTGCTGAGATCTTTTCACTCTTTGGACGCGTCGCATCATTGTCGCTTTGATTGAGCGATGAATTGCTGCCAACGGGCGTACGTATTTCGACCAAGGATGCATCGAAAAACTTTTTCGAAAGATGTGGCACGGCAACGGGATATTTGTGACTGCCATAACGCTGCGAAAAGAGCCCCTGCACCGATGTGTAGCCACCATAGCTGCTGGGGAAGCTGATGGTGTGTGCATTGGCACTAGAGCTCAGGTGCTTCAACTTGTCGGCCTCGGTGCGCAATTGTTGAAGTTCGGGCGTCTCCTTGGCTTTGGTTACCGTGAATTTACCTTTGATGATGAGTTTTTCGTTGCTATCCATGTGCGCTAATGTCGACTGCGCTATTTTTGGCACATTTGCGACTGCGGTGCTAGCTGGATTGCTGGATGACATCGAAGTCGATGTTGGGGTAATTTGTGCATTTACGATATCTGTAGTCCGACTCTTTTCCACGAATTTTTCGCTAACCGACGCCGTTGGCGCCGTTGCATTCAGCGGTGCTGGCATTATCGCCTTTTGCGGTTCTTCGGCTGCCTTAATCATCTGCAAAGGCTTTGACTTAGTCGACTGCAACAAATTGATCAGTGAAGGTGGCAAAATTGTTGGTGGTATTGGCGGTGGTGGCGGCGGTGAGACATGCTCCGCGGTCACAGTCACCGTTTTGATATCCTCTACGTTGCTCGTATTGATGCTGTCTATCTTATGCATGAATTGCTGTCGCAAGCGCTCCAACTCTTTGAACTTCTCCGCCGATGCCTCATCTGTGGCCGGTGGTGGTGGTGGTGGTGGCGGCGGCGGTGGTGGTGGCGCTGTAGGATTTGCAGACTTATCGAATTTGAGCGCCGCCATTTCGCTCGTTTGCGGTTGTGGTGACTTGTCGCCGTCGTCCTCATCCTCCTCCTTGCATTGTGAGAGACGGCGACGCTCCACGAACGGCAGCAAATAGGGACGTGTATGGAAGATGTCCAAATTGCGTGAATCTGCTGGGAAAAATTTACCCAACCGCTCGTCATTCTTCAGTTCAGCTGTATGTATCTCCTCCTCGCTATCGCTACTACTGCTACAGCTGTGATAGTCAAATGCGGAGGTTGGCGGAAAACTGCTCAACATCGAGCTGCCAAATCCGCTTGAGAATGTTAGATTGTCACTATCAATGCTGCGCAGTCCAGTCGTCACAGAAGCGCTGACCGTATCATCGTACTCATTGGCGCTCTCCGAGTCCGATTCATAGCCATCCACCTCGTCCTGTTCCAAACAATCCATCGATTCGTCGAAAGCGTTCTCAAATAGATCGTCGCCCAACCGGTGCAACGGTGCGGTGGTTTGCAGCGCCGGCAGACCAGCATGAGTAGCGCTTATGCTAGCTGAATCGTCGGAGAGTGAATTGTCGCTTTTGCTTTGCAGCAACTCAATGCTGTCCGCGCGTTGCTCTTGCGCCATTGAGGCCGTTGAAGCGTTGTTCGAGATGGAGCATTTACGTGGATCGGCGCTGTTGCTACCCTCGATATATTCACAATTGGTGGCCATTTGAGTGGAATACCTCGTGGTGGTAGCGCCTTTGTTCGTTAAAATAGTTCAGTAAGTTTGTTTTGATTGAATAAAATCGGTTAAGGGGTTGTCGGGTTTTTTACAAAAACACTTAACACGTATTGACAATTACAATTTCTTTTTTTTTTTTTTGGGATTCAAAGACTTAAAAAGTGTACACAACACAAAAACGGAGACTCACTACACTTTACGTCGATAATATTTTCTTTTGAACGACATTGATTTGCCGATTTTTAACACTGCATTGAAATGATACTTATTTGTGGTTAAGGGCTGTATTTGTTCATAAATTTGTGGAGTCTTTTTAATTGTTGTTATCAGCTCATTGATCTGGAAAACAAAAAATAAAATTGAGTATAATTAGTGTGTGTCTCTAGAAGCTACGGTGGAAAAGCTTTCCTTTCGCTTGTGGTTGATATGACTTGGATCAAAGTAGATTGGCTTCAAGAAAAATTACAATAAAAAAAAATTAAAATAAGATCTCTTATTACATATGCAGAAATAAGTAATTGTATCAAGTGGCTTAAACCTCGGTGCAATACCATAGGAAAACGTGAATAATTTTCAAGTTTAGGGTGTAGGTCCCTCCGCTTTGTGTGACAACATCAAGACGCACGCCACAAATCGGAGGAGAAGCTCGGCCAAACACTAACATATGTGTAAGCGCCAATCTATTATTATTATTAAATGCCAGCATTCATACCAAGTTTCTATTTTCCAGTAGAACATTCCATAAAAGACCAAAAAGATAAAAAAAAATAAAAAAAAAATACTTGACCACCCCCCAAAAATCACGAATTTCAGAAAAAAAAACTTAAAAAATTCCCACAGATCTCAAAGAATCCCAAGATAATCCTAAAAGTAATGAGAAAGTCCCGAAAGCTCTGAAAACTTGAAAAAAATCGGGAGTCATGTGGGCCAAGTTGGAAAAGACTATTTTCGATTCGACTGCATTTTGGTCAGGACTTGTTTATGAACCGTTTTCAATAATATGTGAAGTTTAGCGACACCTAAAATTATTTTAAAATTTTAAAGTTTTGAAGTGATATTGTACGTGGAACAAAATAAAAGGGTGTCCATTATAAAATTTAGATGTTTATATTTTTTAAGGAACATCCTAATGTATACCACATACATGTACATATGTTATATACATATGTTATTTTTCCGAAGTCCATTAATTCATTAATCATTTAATCGGGTGCTAAACACCAGTAGCCGTCTACTAATTAGTGACAACTCTCTTCCCCCCTTTTTTATTATTATTCTCCTTTCACTTCCATGTTTTTTCTCCAATTTTGAATGGTTCAAGTGTCAATTTGTGCGCACAGCCCACAAACAAGCAAGCTTAATTAATTAATTTAACATTATAACCAGAGTACTTACAATGTTAATTCTCCCCTACCATCCATTGACCATTGGCGACCAATATGGCGCATTATTTTTTAATATTTTAGCTGGTACTGCGATAGTTTGCTTACCAAAAATTGGTGTGCATAGTGCACAGTGGCGGTCGAAAATTAATATTTACAATGTTTTTTAAGCTATAATTTTTTCGATATTTTTTCTAAAAATATGGTTCATGCTTTAACAAAAACTATATAAATCATGTTTTCAAATTTTGTGCAGAGCTTAGAAAAATTCCACAAATTTTAATCTAAATTTCGAGCTTTTTAACCAGAATTTTTAGAAATATTTTGGATAAGCAGTTAACAAAATTCGATTCAAATTAATGCAAGTTTTGAGCGGCTAAAAAATCGTATTGATTTTTATAAATTTTTTTTTTGTTGGCGGTGTTTTGCACTTTTTTCCATATAAACATGAATTTCTTGTGGAAGAATATGCGCAAGACCTTTTGTGAAAAAAATAAAAAAAGTCAGCGCCAGTTTTCCTAAATTTCAAATTTTATATGAAAAAAAAGCCGTAAAAAAATTAATAAAACTTGCATTTATTTGACTAGAATTTTATAAGCTTGTTAATGCATACCCAAAAAATTTCTAAAAATTCTAGTTAAAAAACTCTAAATTTAGATAAAAATTTGTTTAATTTTTCTAAGTTCTGCGCAAAATTTGAAAGTGTGATTTATATAGTTTTTTAAAGCAAGATCCATATTTTTATAAAAAAAAAATATCAAAAAAAATTTGCTTGAAAAACATCGTAAATATTAAAAGCGAAACACCATTCATCCATTTTTTAGCTCCACTGTATGTATGTAGATACATAGTACATATATACATAATATTCACGATCATCAATCAATGGTTCTATGGTACTTACGAGTATGTACAGTGGTCCACAAAATAATAGGAGTGCGATATTTGTCTTTCATTTATTTAATGTTTATTGGTTTTTTATAAAGGTTAAGCTGGATATACAACAAACGCCGAATAAATTTGAGATTTCAATATTTTTTTTTAAATTCTGCAAATTTTCACCAAATTTTGAAACTTTTTAATCAGAATATTTTGGTGTGCAGTTTTGTAGCCCATTTAATTCTAGTCTAATGAAGTGCAGGTTTCAAGCTGCTGAAAAATCCCGTTATTTTTTGGCATTTTTTTTTTTTATTGGCAGTGTTGAAGCACCTTCAACAAAAAAAATTGTCAAAAATCAACGAAATTTTTTACGAACTTGAAACTTGCATTTCTTTGCACCAGAAATAAATAGGCTACGAAACTGCAACGAAAACCAACATTTTTTTTAAAGATTCTGATTAAAAAGTTTGATATTTGGTGAACATTTGCAGAATTTTTGTACAAAATTTGAAATGTAAATTTATATGGTGTTTGTTGTATTACCTGCTAGGCTTATATAAAAAAATAATAATAATCGTTAAATAAACAAAAGACAAATAGCCAAAACTGGACAAAATCTTCCACTCCTATTATTTGTTAACAACTGTACATATGTGCATATGTATTTATAACAGTTGCTTCTGTTAAAAGCAAATGGGATTATACGTAGATGTGTAAATTCATAAAGTGCGTTCTTAGGCTCTTAATTCGACATACATGTATATGTACATACATAAGTATACTATATGTATGTAAGTCATTACTAATGAGTTGAACAAATATTTATCTTCCTTCAACGCCTTTTGTTTACAAATAAATTTAGGCGAGTATTCTGTAATTCGTCTGACCACAAATACGTAAGCGTTGAAATATACACAGCCGGGCACTGACATCATCGAAATACCATAGTCATCAAAAGAATATTCTTAAGAAAAAAAAGGGCCCTTAAACAGCTTGGAGCAAAGCTTTTGGGGGCATTTAAAGTTAAATGGGTCTTTTGTATGTAAAACATGCATGCATGTATGCATAAGTATGTATGTATATATTTACATGTACTTATGTTTATTTTTGTATGTAGGCATTTAAAAGCATTTTTTACCCATAATTACTCGGATGTTCATTGGAAGCAGCCATATGCACTTTCGGATGTATAAATGTTTATTAATGTATCAAATATTTGCCACCGGGCAACCCAACACAGCCGACATCCTCGTACTTACATACATACGAAGTCAACTGATCAACAAAATGAGCAAAGTGAACGAACAGGTTTATTGAAAGTAGGTATTTTAAGAAAAATTTTTTATTAATGAAACGAACAATAAAACTTCGTGCTCATATGAGTATTTTGGTATCTTTGTTTCGTTTTTAAATTTAAATAATGCTGACAGTGTCATGCATTTTCTTTCATACACAAAAAAAAAATTGCACATTTTTGGTAAAAAATCACCGGCATTTTTTTCATCAATTCGAAACTTGAAAATGTTATGGGCTAGAAAAAATGCATACCAAAATTTTGTCTAAATATTTTGATTGAAAAGTTTGAAACTTCAGTGAAACTTTACAGAATTTTTATAATTTTTGCACAAATTCTGCAGTTTTAATTCACATATCGCTAGCGTAGGGTGAAAAGTTGCTAATTCCACTTTTTATGAATACTTATATTTGAGTACAGGAGGCTAGAGAAATTTAAAATGCATTGCATCGAAAAGGATAAAGATACTTTTTTTTCATTAATTTTCGTTTATATTCAATGAAAGGAAAATTTGCTAAGTCCAAAAGAAGCAACGAAAATCTGATAAGGCCAAAATAGTAGTTCGAAATCTTTTAATCTCCCCCTCTACATACATATTAGGATGGAGCGAAAAAATCGATTTTTCGATCTCGAAATTCTAATAGTGCGAAAAAGTAGCTTAGCATGATCACAATTAAACGTGTTAAACCGTTTTTTGATTGGATAATATATACGCTCGCACAAGAGGTTTAAAATTTTGGACAATCTCTCAGATTATCGTTCTTTTACACTTTTTTTTTGTTGAAGATTCTCTAGAAAAAATTTGGAGTACGCAGTTTTGTAGCCCATTATATTTTAGTGAAGTAAAGAGCAATTTTAAAGTAGCCAAAGGATCGCGTTGATTCTTTGCTATGTACGTTAGGGCGGGTCAATTTATATGGGAGATTTTTTCGACTATGAGCGTATAGCACTGAAGGATTCCACGTGTAATTCTAAGCAAATTCTCCCAAGAAACCATGGGTCTAAAGTCAATTTGGAGTTTGCCAAATTGCCAAAAAAAGTTTCTTAGCATTTTACTGTAATGTCGTAAAGAAGTGCATAAATTTTGAATAGACATGCTAAAGGGGGTTTTTTTGGTATGAGGAATGCATTTCTGCGCTTATATTTTGCATAAATCTTTCACCAGAGGGCGCAAACGTGGAAATTTTCACATTTTCTTCGAAACCTAATTTCGCAATTTGGCAAACTCTAAATTGTTTTAAAATCTTTGCAAAATGGTTATTTTTTGTGTTTATTTTTATTTTTTTTAACCGTTATAAAGAATATAAAATTTGTATGCCCGTTTTAAATCCATTATTATCGAAAAAATGGTTAAGATGGTATGATTGCAAAAATAAAAATCCAAAAATACCGATTTTTTTTATCGAAAAAATAAAAATTATAAAATTTCGCTTAAATTTGCAACGTTTAAATTGTGATTTTCATTATAAAGATCATAACTGTTACGGTGCCTGGAATATTAAAGTTTTCGGCAAAAGCATCACCATGTGTACATACGTTAGTTTGAATCCCTGTATGCACTTTGAACCAAATCGGTTTCCTAACAAAACAAAAATGGAGTTTTTAATAACATACCTCCTTATATATTGAGTATTTATCCCTTTTAATGATATTGATGGCAAAGATTTTTTTTTTGGGCGCCGACCCCCTCTAATGTACATTCACTTTGCATTTTTTGCAAGCTCATATCAATTTGTCATGTTTCATAAATTTCCTAGTAATTAATTTTAATTAAAAAAAAAGTT